ACTAAATATGATGGAGTCGATGGGGACAACTACCCACTATCATATAACAGCGATATTACTTTTACTGAATATAAAATCAACGTTGAAATATATAAATTCATAAATGTATGCTCAATTTAAATATTCAACCATTGATGGTAAGGGTGATCATATGCCTTTAAATTGTTCCATGACAGTATAATCCACCTACACCTATATTTGGACAAACTTCTTTTATTTTATTTTTTTTAACTAAATTTTGAATTTTATTTGCGTATCTCGTGACAACCTTGATTGCGCCATTTATTAAATTAAAATTTTAATTAAAATCAATATTACAAATATAAATATTTAATATAAGTTTTATCCATATATATATATGTTTTACAGTGACATAATGAAAGAGAGTAAAACATAATTACTCTAAAATTACATATATTTATTGTAATATTATATTATAAAAAATTTATAAATAATATTTTTATTAAAAATCATAAATTTAAAATTATTTTTAAGTTATTATTTTAATTTACACGTACAGTTAGTGGTAACAATCTTTAAATGTGAGTTCAAAGGCTATCAACATGATTTTGTGTGAAAGATTGCTTGAGTATGTCAAGCTAGAATTAATTGTACACGTAAAGTAATGTATGGTTAAAAGTGAAAATAAAAACCCTCTTGGGTTGACATAAGAGGTTTCAACCTAGTCAGTTGCAGAGATATATGGTATTAATTAGGATGAAGATATTATTAGATGAGAGTTTTTAAGAAAATCAGTCAATTAATGTCGACATTATCATTATTAAGCCACTAGGGTCTGTATAATGTCTCAACGAATGCGAAACTAGTTGATCCAAGGTGGGATTTTGGGGCATTATTTGTCTTTGGAAGTCTGTCCTCCCTAATACATGTGAGTGTGGTTAGGCTCAACTGTTCCAATGATGTTCCTCTACATGGTTGAATTGACGAAAAAAATTTATATATATTGGAGGAGACATATTAATAGTTTAACATCTAATATGTTTTATTTTTTCATTACACACATGTTAATAGATCATACTGTTAGTTTAATTCAATTTAAAATATATTAATAATTTTTTCGACAAATGCTATATCAACTAATATAATCTTAATGCCTAGGTTTTTTTTTTTCATTTGCATGTAGAATTTTGTGTAATGCGTAATTAATATTGACACGGTTTATATTTTTAAAATTACTAAACAGTAAACTAATTATCAATGTTATGCAATAAATCTGTCTCAATTATAGTAGCTAAACAGTGAAATCATACATGTATGTGCCAACTATTAAATCAATCTTTATATTATAAATAATCTTTTTAGTAAAACAATGCTGATAAAAACAAAAGGCATGGTCAGTAATTAAAACGAGTAATAACTTGGTCGTGGTAAAATATTGCATATAGAAGCCCCTGTTTTGATATCATTAGTTTATCTACCGGGCTACCCATTAGTTGCAATATTTTAAAAACTATCATTGATGAAAGTCACATTATATCAAATTACTGGAAGAAATTCATAAAAATGACAATTTTTTGAATTATTTATGTAAAATTGTCTAAATATTCACTATTCTATTGATTATTACTTCGTGGGATTGAATTATGGTTTTGTAAATAAAGTCATCGAATTAACGAGCTATTAATATTTCAGTTGGTAGACGATCATAGAGAATATTGTGTCACTAGTTTAAGTCAGTGGATATCACCAGATTGATATATACATATAATGTGTGAACGGTAAGCCAGTATTGTCACTCCTTGCAATGTACATAACATAATGCCCAAGCATGGTGATGAATTTTTATCATGGAGGCAAAGAATATTAATTATCATTGTTTTTCTAATGATGAAAGCACCCCCTAGCTAGTTTAGTCGGTGGATTTGCAAAAGTATTCCCCACTTCGTGTGTCATTCTCAAACTGAGACACGATTGATCCTCTAATTAAAAAAGTTGCATGATTTTCTCTTTGGCACTGCGTCCCACATATGCATGCCCTCTCCGCTCCAGCATAACAGTAACCCTAGTGTAGGATTAGGATGGTCCTAACCAGTAATCGCACATATACTAATGGTGGTCTAATAGTGTACGAATACAAAAAAGTTATTTTTATATGCATAAAGATAAATAAACACGAAGATGGACCACCCTAACGTTTGTAGCCCTGGTTGAGTCGCATGTAGTTACAAGTTTCAAACCTGTTCAAAAATGTGGCTGCTGTTAATGAAGTCTCAGACTTGTACAGGGTCTTACACGCACACAATCCCCCGCTATTTGTGGAGTCCCTAATTGACCCCCTCTCACGGCCATGACACCTTGGTCTTTGAAATTTGAAAACAAGTCTTTCACTTTTTGTTATTCAAAAATGATTTTTTTCTGGGTAAGAGAGAAATAAGAAAAAAGAAGTGATAAACATAATATGATAAAACTCAAAAGAATAGGCAAAAATATAAAGTGACTATGAATAAAAAAAATAAAGATTACATTTTATTTCGAAAGAAAAAAAAGGGCGGGGGGGGGGGGGTCGTACACACTCCCCCTTTTTCAATTATTTGTCTCCGTATTGACAAAGTGGTGTATTTTTATTCGTAGAATAGGAATGTACTGTGGATTGGAGTTTGTAGTCTCCTACATTATTAACTCCTTAGGAAAGCATACAAAGGCATTCACATTAAAAAAAGATCTTGGGTGAAAGTTACGTGGGGCGAACAGCCAACAAAAGAATTTTTATTGAAAGACAAGAAAAAGGGGAAAAAACAAAAGAAAAAAATGAACGATGATCCAGAAACTGGATGGGGTTGGTGTTGCTTAACAGGGACTGAGAAGCATGCGCGGAGTGCGTAGTGCACACCCGAAAAGGTCCAAACAGCATCAAAGAAAAAGTACAAAGCTGGGTGAGAAGTAAGAAGTGAGAAAAGAGAGAGTGACGTCATCGGGGTGTAGGGCAAAGGGGAGGAGAGAAATTTGGTAAGCGGCGGAGAAAGCTACCAGTACTGGACCACTTGCTTTTTAATGGACAAACATTTAAAGCTGTGTTCGCCACCTTCACTCCTCCACTCTCATCCCTCGCGCGTCCTCCCTCACTTGCTTTCCATCACCATGAATGATTAAATTCTTCTACATTTTGTTCTCGTCAAAGTAATTTCTCTTGCTTCATATAATTTATTCTAATAAATGATATGATTAAGCTTACCACAATGTTAATATTTTTTTTTAATTTATTGTAGTAAACGTCATGATTAAATTAGTTGAAGTTTTGGAACCAATGAAATGATGTACCCACTTGATTCTCTCATAAGTGATTTTTTGTTATGATTTTACAAATTTAAAATAAAATTGAACCAATTATAAATATTTTATTAGGAACAATTTATTTTAGTTTCTTGTGATTTTTTACTTGGAGTTTTTAATTGGTGAGTTTAAGTAAAAAATATTAAAATTAATTTGATTCGTAAGTGTTTTAGATGCAAATTAAGAATTTGAAGGTTTTTAATAGAATAAAATTGATGATAGAAAATTTATTTAATTTTAAAAGTAAAAAATTAAATAGTTGAAAAAAATTAAGAATGAAAATTAAACAGTCTGTACTGAAAGAATAAAAAAAATGATGAAGTCAATTCTTTATTGTAATTTTAGTTACAAGTTCACAATATATAATGCAATAAGGGTGCATTGAAAAAACGAAATTGAAATTGTAGTTCAATTAAACCCAACCTGATTTTAAGCTTTAGGTTTGATTAGTGGGTTTATAAATTTATTCAAATCACATGTGCATACACCTCTAGACTTAAAATTAATTAAAATATTCAGGTTAAATATATTATAATTCGATGAAATAATGATCAAAAATGTTATTCTAATTTTAAAAATACAACTAAACATAAAAATTAGCGTTAATGAGCTCAATATTAATTTCAAACTCTAATTTTGTATTTAATTCTAGTTGTCTAATGGACACCGACACTCAAGAAGGTAAATTGGTGTCAAATTTAAACTTTCTTTGTTCATCAAACAAATTTGAAACTTTTTTTTTTTGTGATATTTAGTTATCATTTTAACCACTTCTCAAAATTTGAGCCTTTTTTTTTTCTTTCATTATAAGTAATACAATGCCGTTTTATGTTATTTCATTTTAAGAATGAAATGACTATACTTGACTGAGTCGATCTAACTGAGTTATTTTTCATTTAAATTTGATGAAAATTGCCGAGTCAAACCGGATCGGAACGATTTTTAAACATACTTGATTTGACATGTTATTTGAAACGATTACATGGTTAATTCACAAATCGAACCAATCATTCAAAACTGAGATCGATAATTATGTAGATTCAAAGGTTTTATCTATATTACTCGGCCAAATATTAACAGAGATTACGCATGTATGATGCATGACTTTTTGTCACGTTCGTGAAATGGAAATGAAAAGAAGAAAGGTGTCTTCTAAAACGTGAAAGTAAAATATAGACACGATGCAAAACATCATTGGATTGAAAATCACCGACGATCAACATTATCATTTTCAATCAGAAAATGGCAAATAGCCAATAATTAATCATTGACAAATACAACAAACATCAAAATAATAAATGTACGTAGCCAGCATGCAGTTCAATCAGCATACATATATTCGGATGGGGGTTAGCCTTAAACTTTAATGTTTATTGTTCCTTAAATGGCCTGCAGTTAAATTTGGTGCGAGAAGAATTAAGTAAAACCTAATAAGGGCGTTTAATAAATGGATAATTAGAGTTAGATTGAATGTAGAAAGTGTTGAGTTGCAATGAAATGGAATAGCGCGTGGAAGGGACATATTTTGGATGATGAATAAATTAAAAGAAAAGATGCGGTCCCATGCAAAATGGAGAGACGAGGATGGGTGGAGTGCTTTAATACACCAATTAATAAGAATTAGATGGGCAAAGATTGGACCACCTCATCTCAATATCTCATCTCGCGCTCAGTCCCTTATTTTAGGAACATTTTACACAAACCCAGGCGCATCTATTCTTTCTCTTTTCACTTCTTCTCTCTACCTATCCCTTCGCTCTGTAAGAACACAGCAGAATACAGATTAAACAACGCAACAGAAAACTCTGCTACCCTTTATTATACTATTTTATTTTATATTATTATTTTTTTTGGAAGAGCAGAGAGGGAAGCACCATGGCCCACCAACTCATCCCAAACAGAGTTCAATTGCTGAAACCCATCTGAAAAAGCCTGGAAAAGACTCCTACATAGGATGACTTCGATCTTGGGATTCGTTTCCCTACAAAGATCCTCTTAATCCCATCACCGTTATTTCTTTAAAAAAATAACTCCGAGGCCTTGTTATTGTGAATAAATAATCAAATTCATGGGCGAATAGAGTCCCTACAAATCTATAATTTTTCTATCATGGCAGCATTATTACGGGTTTGGGTTTGGCTCTGGCTGTGGGGGTTAAAAGCAGAATTTGTTAAAAAAATCAACATTTTCGTAAATCAGAGAGCAACTTATGTGGCGGCTTGTAGTATATGTACCAGGCAAAGGACGATCATTACTTTCTGTTGCTCCTGGTCCTTCATAAGTACTAAGTAGAGAAGGTCTGTTTTTTTTTTTTTAATAATTCTCGTATCTGACAATGCTTATTTATAAATTCAATTATTTGCATTCAATTTAAAATAATTTTTTAATAATATAATTTATTTTACCGGTTGTAGGTACTTAGGGGTAAGAAATAATTGAGGAAATTTCCTTGATATTTTTTTTCTCCTGTACCGGAATTCTATTTTGGTTGTATTTATATCTTGCATTGACCCACTTCTACTAGAGAGAGAAAGAGAGAGAAGGTGGGCATATATGAAATGATGATCATGGCATGAAGGTCATCATCACCCCTATCTGATCTTCTATTTCTGAGGAAGTATTTCTCATCCTTGTTCCTAGGTTGGTTTTCATGGTACCTCTATGTTGGCTTATTAAGAGAACAAGTCTGAGATAAAAGAAGCTCGCTCTTACTAATTACTCTCCAATTTCCCACCGTAGTCTTCCTCAAGTACCCTCCACCGACCACCACCACCACCACCACCACTGCTACAACTACTTTGATCCGTTTCCAACGCACCTAACTAATTATTCCACTCTTCCATTACGGTAAGATCTTGGAATTATTTAATTACTTTCCACAGAAACAACCAAACAACTATTCAATTTAATTTTTTCCTTGTTTCCTTTTTTCTTTTGGGCTTATAAATAATTCGCTATCAACCTCTCTTGATGCTTTTCAACTCTGTTTCAGTGGTTTTTGGGTTTATAATATATATTCCAACATAAGAAATCAAAGCAAGAGGAAGAAGGAGTATAAATAATTGGTGAGAAACCAATTAATCAATTGAGAAGAACATTAGAAGAAGCAATTGATGAGATTTCATGGCTCGACAACTGTGTGAAGACAAATCATCAGGTGGATTCTGCTATTCTGATGCATCATCGGGTAACCCAACGATGCAGACTCATCTAGTGAACCAGATCCAAGGCTTTGTGTCAGACCCAGAGATGTTCAACCTCACCACAGGCATGGAAATGATAGGGTTTCCAAAGGGCGACGCCAACGCTGTCATGTGGAAAACTTTCAGCGCCAAACCTGGTCCTTCCTCTTCCAAAACCATGAATCACTCTTCCACCACTTTCTACCACCATGACTATAACAACAAGCCTTCAGATTTCACACAAGCGATATCTGAAACAAGTGGCGAGAATCTAATCGTGGGAGCTCACGATTCAGCTCCGTGGCAAGAGAACAACAACAGGTTACTCGTTGATGATTCTTCCTTAAGGTGTGTGTTCCCTTGTGAAGGGAACGAAAGGCCTAGTCAAGGTCTTTCACTCTCTCTTAGTTCAACCAACCCTTCCACTATTGGGTTGCAATCTTTTGAGCTAAGACAAACAAGCCACCATCCTGATTTTGTTTCAACTTCCAGAGAGGGGTTCTTTGGAAAATCAGTGACTGTTCAACAGCAACAGGTGTTACAAGATGGGTATTTGAGTGCTAAGCCTGCGAATCTTTATCAACAAGGACATTTCTTGCTCAAGAACTCAAAGTACCTGGTACCTGCACAGGACCTTCTGAACGAGTTTTGTAGTCTAGGCACAAAGCAAAGCGAAGTGCCAAAGCCAAAGTCGTCAAACAAGAACAAGCAGTGGGAAGAGGATAATAATAACGGTGTCGGTTCCTCGAAGAAGCATTCTCTTACCTCCCTAGAATTCGTGGAATTGCAAAAGAGAAAGACAAAGCTGCTTTCGATGCTGGAAGAGGTATATATGTTTGATGTTTCCAAATCTTGTTTCACTTCATTTAAGACTGTTTTTCCTCTCCCATCTACTTTTATTTGCAAGGAAATAATACCTTTATCCATCGCTCCTCAAAATATGGAAAAAAGGTGTGTGAGAGTAAAACCGCGCCTTTACTCCAAGTGAATTGGTATCTATCTATCTCTCTATCTATCTATCCATTACATCCAGTGTCCTTTAACTTTTGGGTGGTGTGTGTGGTTGATGGGATTGGGGTCTTTGGATTTTGATTCCTGAACTAATTGAGCAGCCACTAAGGGCCCTTTCATTAATGCTCACCTCGTGACAATTGAGCCTTTTTTATTTACCTTCACAGCACAAACCTCTATCGATCCCCTTTTCCTTTTCTTGCCAACATACATGTTTCTACACTTTCTACTATATATATAGCATGCTGAATCATTTTCATTTTATGGTGGCTGTAACTTTCAAATTAAAGTGAGGATCCATGTGTTATTTAACTTTGGTTTGGCTTCAATGAAGGTTGACAGAAGATACAAGCACTACCGCAATCAGATGAAAAGCGTGGTGTCATCGTTTGAAGCTGTGGCTGGGAATGGTGCAGCCACGGTGTACTCGGCGTTGGCTTTGAAAGCCATGTCGAGACATTTCAGATGTTTGAAGGATGGGATATTGGGGCAGATTCAGGCCACAAGGAAAGCCATGGGAGAGAAAGACCCAGTTGCACCAGGCACAACAAGGGGTGAAACACCAAGGCTTAAAATCATTGACCAAGCCCTCAGACAACAAAGAGCCTTCCAACAAATGAGCATGATGGAAACGCATCCTTGGAGACCCCAACGTGGCCTTCCCGAGCGATCTGTCTCCGTTCTTCGAGCTTGGCTTTTTGAGCATTTTCTCCATCCGTAAAAATCTCTCTCTCTCTCTCTCTCTCTCTCTCTCTCTCTTACTCACTTACGCATCCTCTTCTATCTTTTGTAATTGCTAGTTAGCTAGAATATGTTGATGTCCTAATATAAGAAACCTACAAAATGAATTTTGCTGAAGAATCAATGTTCTCTCCAAAATTGAAAAAGAGAACAACTGCAAGTTGATAGTACCGCAAGTTTCTCATGCGTAGAATCTCAATCATTTATGCTTACAAAAACTGTGGTACATTTTGGTAGTTTCTGTGCATCACTATTCGGATTCCATCAGTTGGTATTTCGTCATATTACTTTCAATCATTTTGCTTGCAATGTGGACATATATATAATCCTTTAATTTGGTCCTCTCTATTACTCCTACTTTTCTGTTGATATCTAATTGCTAGCTAATATTGAAGGTCAGATTCTTAAATAATTTTTGAGAGTAAACTTTTGCAGGTATCCAAGCGATGTTGACAAACATATTTTAGCCCGCCAAACTGGTCTCTCGAGAAGTCAGGCACGTCCACATCTTTCTCAAACACACAAATATTCACACTTGATTTTCCGTACATTATTTTACATAATAAAATAGGCGTTAGGTATCAAGTCTTAATTATATAATAATATTATATTATATGTATTCTAGTGAAAGTTGGAAACCCCGTTCAATGACCCTTATCTATGTTCAAAGCAGGTTTCAAATTGGTTTATCAATGCAAGGGTGAGACTTTGGAAGCCAATGGTGGAGGAAATGTACTTGGAGGAGCTGAAGGATCAGGAAAACAATATAGCTTCCTCAGAGGCGGGCACCGATCCAGATGATAATATTAACCCAAATGTTCAAAACCCACCACCTGCTTCTTCACGTTCCGAGGATCAGAAGCCGACACTTGTCCGAATTGACTCTGAGTGTGCGTCCTCCGTCATCAACAACCACACCCCAGATAACAAAAACGACCCAAAGAACAGCACCAACATGAACCCACAAGAACAATGCTTTGGGTCGGTGGAGCTTGATTTTTCATCTTACACGCACCACACATCGGGCATGGTTTCTTACAGTAGTAACGATCATGATGGGAACAACCAGAGTTTGAATGGTGGGAATGGGGTGTCTTTGACGCTAGGGCTACAGCAGCATGGGGTGAGCCTAGCGTTCCCGCCAACAACTCAGAGTTCGCTGTACTATCCAAGGGACCAAATTGAAGATTGTCAACCAGTTCAGTACTCTCTTTTGGACGGCGAAGGACAAAACCTGCCTTATAGAAATTTGATGGGTGCACAACTGCTTCATGATTTGGCAGGATGAAATGGATATTATTGATTTGAATTGAGTTGATCGTGGAGGACGCACGGAATTGAGATTAAAATGCATGGTGAGTAATTAAGTGGGTATAATTAAGATTAGTTTTTTCTTTTTATCCTTTAGCTAGCTACGCACAACAAATTATATACTACACAATTAATGCTTAATTCCATACATAAAGCTATACTTGATTAGATAACGTATAGTTTGATTTCGACATGTGTATTCATGCCTATATTTTGGAATTGGAATTCGTAAGTCAAGATTTATACAAAATTTGTTTAGTTAATTATTTTTTTTCTTCAACTAATAAACCATATAGTTCATATACTTTTGAATTATTGGAATGTTCCTTAATCCTGGGTTCGATTCTTTCGGAGGGCTATTTTCTTTGGGGCTTCCATTAACTACTGAACTAGTGGCAAATAATATTCTTTTTCCGAGGGTTGGAGATATTTGTAGTTTGTTATGAAAAGAAAAGAATATTGCTAAAGGACAATACCATTTGGCTGTACAAGTTTGGTTGGATGCTAAGAACAACAAGAATTACCAAAAATAAAATAAAAATCAAAGATAATTTGGTGGTAGTGGTCCCTGGTTCAACCTCATGAAGACAACATCTCGTGCCGATAAGAATTGGTTGCTTTATGATGTCAACTTTTGTTATTGGTTTATCTGTGCCCTCTTCTTTTTGGCCAATATAAGAGATGTCGTTTCAGTAAGTTTAGAGTTAGAGGTGCTTGGTTTATTCAAACAATCCTATCTCACCTCCTCCTATTTGCTCTCTAAGGAATGCAACTTGTGTGTTAAAATGATGATGAACTTAATCGCACCTACCAGTGATGGACACGTATTTTCATCCGAACATCTTCGTAAGTTAATTGATTTAGAAGTATTACCGTATTTAAATTTTATTTACGCATAATAGTTAGATAATTAAGGGTATTGAATGTTATAGAATGGAGGGAAATGAAAAGGATTTAAATGAAAGAGGGTGGTGAAACGTAATAAAATAAATATTTTATTTTATTTTATTTTATTGTTTAGACATGTTATAATAAATTGAACTTAATTTTTATTTTATTATTTGAATAATGAATGAAGTAAAATAGATTATTATTTTTATAATATTTTATTTTTAAAAAAAATGGCATTTTAAAAGCCATTTATCTCAAGAAAATAACTATTTATAAATTATGTACGAGGATCATTTTTATATATACTATTGTGTTCTCATACGACTAAAACATTATTTTATTAGTAACAATTTGGAATATCCTAACCCTTCACAAATGTTTGAGATCAAATTAAATATGATAAAGAGTACAAGAAACGATAATTGTTATGAGATGCATGCATGAACTTTTTTATTCTCAGCAAACAAAAAATAGAATTTATTAAGAATACGAGGGACTCAACTTTTCATTAACACCTGAGATCAAATGACATGAGGAAGACAAGTCCACGAATTAGAGAACAATTCATAAAAATCAAAATCACTCTCCCTTGCTCGTTTTGTTGCCATATATATATAGTTATTCTCCCTGTCATTTATATTTATATGGATATTTTTTTTAATACTTTTTTTTTATATTCTTTTTACATTTTTTCTTTCTCATTTCTCAACTTTTTCTTAATCAAACGTTGTATTATATACTGCTTTTTTTTTTCTTTCTGGTGTATATATACTATTTAAATATATAGTACGGAAGGAGTACTCACAGGGTTGACTCGAAAGACTTAATGTAATACATACACAATATGCTCGTGTGAAACAAACTAGTCCATGCATAGGGGAAAGGAAGTTGAGAGGCTAGAATTGATTGGTGATTAATGCAATAAAACAAGATAAGAGTTTTCAATTTTCATAGCGAGAGGACTAGGGCGTGGCGCCAATGTTGACCTCCACTCAGAGATTGCAGGAGAATGGGAAGAAGAATTGTTCCGTTGTGATGATTGGTGTTAATATTGCTATGAGTGGTGCAGTTAATTGGGGTGACTAATAAACGAGTACGACCGCATGGAATGTTATTAAGAGTGAGGAACAAAGTGTAGAGGCTAAGGACCGTCTTTCATACGTTGGTGTTATTATTAAAGCTTTACAACAATATGATATGACAGACATATAGGGTCTTGGCCTTCTTCCACCTTCCCAACCAAGTTGCCAATTTTGTCTATCCAAATAACCCCTACCATTAATTCTTCCGTAAAACAGTTTCCGCATGTTTCGTGTGAGCTTTCCTTTTCATATGTGTTTGTGTGTCTGTACGTAGGTATAAACAACGTTTTGCCAGTTGGGTATTAATTCCCTACAAATTAAACGTCAAGATAATTATCAACAGGACATGTTTCTTATACTTACAAAAAGAGAAACATATTTCTCATGGCAAGTATTTTCGCATGAATCGCGACTACTCCGTTCAGATTATTCTGAGTCTGGTGCAAGCGTACATGTACATTTGGCCATCTGCGTTGCAAATCCTTTCAAATTTTTGTGCCCGACCACTTCACTGTTGGCTTCTTGGTGATGCTTTCACTTGTGGGCTTTTATAACGCATATGGCTCTTTAATTCTAGGAGCGCTAATTGAACTTATTTATCCATTAGCTATATAATTTATCAAGGTATAAATTCAACAAAAGCATCTAATTATAAAAGTAAAAAATAGTGGATGAGTTAGATTAGATTATTATTTGTTATTCGATGAATAATAAATTATCCAAACATTTTGTTATTCATTAGATTAAATAGTTCAAAGTATATTAGTTGGGTATAAATCTTTGAAGGGTAGTTCCTAAACTATATAGTGTTGATTGTTGAATGGATATAAATATTAAGTTTTATTTTATAAAATATATTTTTGAAATTATATATATATATATATATATATATATATAATATTCTAAATGAATGGATTGGATACATTATTTTAATGAATCAAAATAAATTCATAATTTACGTTGTACTCATCTATTATGATTCGATTCAAATTTTATCTAATTCATCCATGTGACATCCCTATTTAGTACTTAACTGGTTCCCGAAAAAGAAAAAAATAAAAAATTCTCTACGTGTAGAATTTTATACTTATCACCAAGAATATCATGGAAAAGGTACTCATAAATACAATTAAAATATAAATTAAATATTTATTTTACTGATTAAATAATCAGTATAGTTAGAATAAAATTAATAATTAATAATAAATTATTGTTTTTAATAGTGATGCTTAAATACCTTATTATGCTTGACGTGATCCATTTTTTTAATATTTTACAAAAGACATGATTTAAGGAAAGTAAAATTTATTGATTGAATAATTAATTATAAAATACTAAATTAACTTTATGTAAAAGTTAAATAGACTTGTGTAATAAAATGATAAATATGTGATAAAAATAATAGATATAAAAGTCATTTCACTATAAAAAAAAAATTAATACGAGTCAAACTTATTAAGTGGAGCGAGAATAGAATAATTCTAAGAGGGATTTAAAGTCTAGTACTTAAATTTGGTATCAGATGAATTTTAGGGTAAAGTTATGAAACTAAGTACGATAACTAAGTTAAAAGTCTTCTGTGGTTAATAATCAGTTAAATTAGAGATATTAATTATTTAACTGTTTTGAGAAAATTAAAATTCAGAAAATTTGAGCAAAAGTTTTATATCAATTTGTCTTTCAATTTATCTGAAAATTTGTTCTTTATTTATCTATTTTCTCTTTTTGTTTTAATATATTTAAAATTAAATGATCATTATATTTATTTTATACTAGTCAAAAACAACATTAATGTAGATAGATTTTATATATTACCCCTCTTGGGAGAAGGAGTGAAGACTAGGGGAAAGAGAGGCCGATGATTTTACAGAGGAGGGACTTTGGGCTTCTTATGGGTCTGTAAGCCTGTAAATTTGGTATTGGGCTACAATCACAGTATCTTCATCCCGCAATCACAATGAACCCAACTTTGCATTTTATCTTGAACGGCGCCACCAATGGTTATTGACCTCTTGACTCATTTAACTAAAAGAAAATTATCCAATCCATTCGTTAATATTTTTTCATGCATAAATATCCATTTCATTCATTAAAAATGCATTAAATTTTTACTTATTTATTACTTTTTTATCTGTCAATGAAAAAACTTTCTAAAAATTTTTCTCCTTATGATGATTCTTTTAATGGGCCTCTACTCCCTTGATCATTATTTAACTATATATCTTGACCTATTCGTCTAAAAAATATGATAGACAGTCGATTAATTATTAGGTAATAATTGTTAATCCAATTTGTCCTATCCGCTAAATTTTATTCTTATAATTGGACATAATAATTAGGTTTGTGTGTTGATGAACAGTTGATAAATGGATGTAATAGTTACCCCGACATAATAAAGAACCGGCCGGCGCAAGTGTACTGAAAAAATAATTTATAACACAATAATATTGTTATCACAGAATTAAGAGAGCATTTATTGTTATTTCTATATATTTATTGTCATTTTTTTAAGTATTTTTCTATTTAAAACGTTTTTTTTATAAATATAATTATAAGTGAAAAATTAATATTTTTAAAAAATTCACTTAAATTGGAGTGTTAACAGTAACAACCCAAAATTATCTACATGTTTATATGAGCAGTTCGATGTTATTTTAAAGTCTTTTGCTTTATTAAGATTTTTATTGTATATTTTTATATGTTAGGAATATGCCTGTTATATTATTTAATTTGAAACATAAAATTATGGGCAGGATAGGTGTCTTCCATGTTCAATGGAGGCAGGGTCAAGTGTCCATTCTCAATCCTGAGTATATAGATGGTGAGCTCAAGACCCATTTTAGGGAGGCAAGGATAGGAAGTGTAAAATTCACTTTGAAAATAACTTTTGTACCATTAAAATAGAATATCTTTTGGTATTTCTTTTAATTGAAGTACTTTTAAGACGAGGGTATAAAAAAGAAATACAATATATACACACACACACACACTCCTAAGATTCCTTATCATCATATCTTAAGACAAGTTGATATAATAGAATTTGTAGGTCCAAAGTTGATTATGTTCAAAAAGGACGAAATGCGAGAATTGCTCTAATGCTAGGCAGTGATAATATGGAGGATATACTTGCAAAAACATTCCATTAATACTCTAATCAATTAGAATATCAGAATTTGCATCAACAAAATAATAGTATTAAAATAAAATGTGTATTTGTATGTAATAATATTAACTAACTATATATAGTTTGAATGTAGGTGACGTACAGACAACGAACTACAATGATTTCTTAATATATAGTTTAACCTAATATAATTATAGAACATTAATTTTACACCTTTAAAGCGAAATGTGTGATCTTCTAACTTAGACTCTCAATATATAATAAGAGTACTGACAATTAATTTACATACGTTAATTCTTAAATGAATTTTGAATAGAACATTCAATTCAATTAGTTCATTGAACCACTAGGGACTGAAGAGGGTGGTTCGTACGTCTTGAGTTTTGGCCTTTATGAACCAGTGAAAAATACAATTTTTCATTTCTCATCAAACTTATTTGATAAGTGATTATCCTCACATATTTCCTATTGATTAAGGACTTTCATGATTTCTTATTTTAAATAAACATATTTCTTATTTTATACATCTTAAATCAGGCCGTTCTTGACTTTTTAAGACTCTAGGCGAAATAGTAAATTAAGGCCCTTTAAAAAAATATATAAAATATAATAAACAAAATAAAAACATATATTAATAATTTTATTAAAATAATAGATTTTTTTAAGTGGCTATAATTTTTTCTAATAAAATTATAAAAAAAATATTTTTTCATTCAAACAACTCTTATATCATAATTAACTACAAAAACATAAAAAATATAAAAAATGAGTTCTTTGAGTATTCTGATATGCAAAATTATTAATGATGGCATTAACATTAATGTTTTCTAAAAATTCTTTATCAATTGATAAAATTGTGAGACCATTCAACAGTTTTTGTAACATTGATGATTTTAGGTAGGTTTTGATTAACTTTAAATCTAAAAAATTTCTTTCATTTGATTACGAGGTTTTTTAAAATTAATAAATATTTTTTTAAAAGAGTAAAAAGTTATTTTTCTTAAGATGTAGAACCTAAATGATAGAGAAAATTGCATAAGTTAAGGAATATATTAAAAATAAACATCTCTAATTATCATTTATTAACTAATAATTAAGAAGTTTTTAATTAAATCATTTTTAATAAGAAAAAAATATTAATCCTTCATAATATTTTTAACAAAAAATTTCTTAATCTTATTTTTTGTGTATATATATATAAAACATTTAAATAAAATAAAACTATAGCCAACCGTAGCCACGGAAAATATATAAAATATAATATCATATTTAATATATAAAAAGACAAGCAAACTATTGCGACGTTTAGAGAAGTCTATTGGTAGCATCTTGTTGGTCCCCTATTCATCATTTATAGTGTGGAGAAAATTTTGACATTTTTATTCTGCTACTGAATGTCGGTGACTGGGATTTTGTTTCCAACATGGAAGAAGCCAAGAACGAGACCGTGTAAAAGCGAACTCGTGAGTTTTAGTTTTAAACTTTGTATTGTCCGGACACCCTCTAAACATCACGTGTGATCGGAAGGAATGAAGGAGTACGGATTCCGACGATGGCTTCTAAGAACTTCCATTGGCTTCATGTGCATGCATTGCACAATGACAATGGTAATATGGGGACTGATATCATTTTGATGAATGGTGTCCAAACACCAAAACCCTTGCGCGATAGTGAAGAGACAATAAAATTAACAAGAAAGAGGCCAAAAAGTTATCTGATGATTTTTAATTTTATACTTTCTATTGTCAGGACTCCCTCTGAATGTCACATGTCGTCGGAAGAAATGAAGAAGCTGGATGCCGATGATGCTTTTCAAGAATCTTCTGAGGCCGAAAAGGTGTTTGGTATGATGACTGATTTTGATGTTTTGGTGTAATTGCCCAACGGTGAGTAAACAATAAAACACGTCTCATTCTGATTTCTCAGTGCCAATTTGCCCAGTATTCAGTAGTTTATATTTTCTGCTCCAGTATTATTTTAACAATATATCTTTTTTTATAGTAATATCTACAACGATTATTGTATTATCATATTGACTTTCTCTTTTGTTTTTTTTATCCTTCTCTTTTTCTATGTTACATCATATGCTTTTTTCTTATTATCTCTACTTCAACAAGTGTCAATGGATTTTATTCTTTCTATGATAAGGAAGGAGATAAAAAAAAAAAAAAAGACGTGAAAAAAGTGTGACGTAATTTATACAATGTGACAGTGGAATAAAAAAGAAAAACTATGAAAAAGTGTTGTTTGAACAATATTATTAATTATGGTTTATAAATACTTAATTAGTATCAATATTCATTTAACATTTTTAATCTCTTTTATTTTTTTTCCTTCCACGCTAGCTGTATCAGTTATCTTTATTCTATATCTTTCCATTTTGTGTTCACAAAACATTTTCCACGATATTATTCATTCGGATCTACTGACTTGTAGAAAACAAACTCTTAAACATATAAAAGATTATGCTGCTAAACCTTAACAAAAGAAAATGGGATGACTAAGTATTTCTTCCGTGCTTGTAATAGCAAAATAGTTAAGATTAGAAATAGCAAGTCGATCAGAACAATCGTTTGTGATTTATGTTCGGAGTATACAAGTTATATAAGTGGTATACTCGTAGTTAAGCACGCATCTGATTTTTTTTTTCTTTTTATGTTGAGTACGTATCTGAATTAAAAAAAATATAAATTGAACTTCTTCATTATTTCTTCTGCAACTTGTTTGAATTGAAATACAAATTTGAAACCAATAATGATAACAGTTATTAAGAACTTACAACATGTACTTTCTTTCCACAACTCACCCAAATTGAGGGCGCCCGGGCAGAATGACAAAATTTCAAGTTAACACCCAATAAATGAAGAAATATGCTCCAAGATATAGACATTAATCAGAACAAGAACCTAACAATATTAATCAGAACTTGTCACAATTAAGCTTCGCCGATCTCACCATCTTTACATACACCCACGTCTATCATCATGGTTCCTTTCTGGTTTGACTTCATCACTCTGCAACAGTTTCTCCTTGGAGCCTGCCAAACATATTAGCAATAATTTATGAATAAATTATAACAAAATATATATAAAAAATAAAATATAAAATATAAATACAACTACGTGCTGCCTGAAAAAGTTTGAGTAACATAAGTAAATCAGCTTATAACTCTATATACTACATTTTCAGCTTATTCCAATAAATTTTATTATATAATTTATGACATAAAATATTATTTAACTAAAATATAGTAAATAAACGTTTAAATAAGTTGTGTCTCCATGTACATCCCATATTTCATAAACACTAAAATAGTGTCCATATATACTTGTTTAATACTTTTTTTATAATATCATTTCACTTACTTATTCTATTTTTTCCTCACTAAGTGTTACGAAAAACTATCTTCATAATAACAATATTATTCACGTTGACGTGAGAAGAACTTACTCTATCCCATAGATGGGGGTCTGGCTTCTTAAATATCTGTACTTTGTCAAGAGTAGAAGGGTCAGCCATCTTCCAGCGGCATTCAGGATGAGGAACATAATGTCTTTCATATTCCGTCACTGTGTGTGGCATTGTAGAATTGTATTTGGCCTTTGAAAAGTAAAACACGAAAGGCTTCTGACACGGGTTTCGGCTAACTGGGCGTGTGTTGAATGCATATGCAGTGTAATCTGCTCTTCTATACCAATTCAGGAAAGTTCTGGAAGGCATTTCCATTTCCCGAGGTGTAAATATCCCACGAAATATCTGAACAGCGAAACCCCACGACACTGAAATGGTCCACCTCTTTTTTTTGTCGTAGCAGATGGATTGCTGAATGAGCGATGCTGAGTCAAGCTTCATTGGAATAGTAAGCCGTTGAAGCGCTTCTACTCTCGTCACATTGGGAAAGATTGGCTCAACCACATCAAGATGGTGCAGTGACACCAATGGAGTCACTGGATGAGCTGCAAGAAGCCCAAACAGGTTCCCATACACATCGTACTGTTTCAATAAACCAAGGGCTCGCTGTCAGTGTGAATTCTTGCAACTCAGAAAGAGATGGCATCACTGTACTGTTTTGTTCTCTAAATAAAATAAAATGTTTATAATCATTAAACAAAAAATAGGATTCAATCTTTTCACTACTGATGGAGCATTAAAATTAAATTTTAAAAATAAGTGTTAAATATTTTTTATTTTTAGGATATAATATAGTATTTTCTCCTTTATAATGAGAAACCAGACGGCCAAGTGCAGTTTTCCAATGTCTCCGTTAGCTCCTGAAGATCCAATTAATGTCTAATTAGGGGGGGGGGGGAAAACAAGAAGTCCACATCATTTATTGTCTTTAACTGCTTAACTTTGGACCTGGTAACTACTCAAAACCTAAATTGTGTAAAGTCAAAATATAATGTACCTAAAGTTGAACTATACGTGGAGCTCTTGAAACGGAATGGTAATATAAGAGTCAAATTATAGCAACCTATGTCAATAGGAAAAGAAAAAAAAGAAGAGGCACAGAGTTGTTTACCACCCACCGTCCCAAAAAGGAGCGTGTTTTGTCTGCAAGAGATTTGCAGTTTGAGACACAATATCGCTATCAAACCAATCAAGATCGGTAACGAGACTGATTTATTGGACAGTTTAACAGGTTAATAATTAAACCATAATTAATAGATAGTACATCCAAACATGCTGTAATTAGTAGCATATATGCTAGCACTTTATTACTCAGTTAAACTAAATAGTATAAAAAATAAAATAAAAAATTTCACGCGTTAAAAATAATTTATTTTTTAAAGTTTAAAAATAAATAAATAATAGAACTTCTCAAAAATAGAAAAATATAAATTATTTTTAATTTATAAAAAATTATACTTTTTTTACTGATTTTTCTCTTATAAATATTTCTCTAAAAATTTACCTAAACTTTGTTTATATATAAGTTTTTTTAAATTTTTTTTAAAAAAATTTACACTCTCAGAGGTCTTTATTGTAATTATAATTGTCAGTTCAACCAACTCAATGAAATTAAATATAATAAATGAATTTTCTGTTATCAATGAAATTATTTTTCCACAAAAGCTTTTTATTCTTAACTTTTTCTATTTTATTCTTAACTTTTAACATATGTACCTAATAAAAAATAAATAATTAACTTTAAAATGCAAGATGGAAATACCAAATTTTCTTTGAGGAGACAAAGTTCACAACTCTAAATTTTTCTGAGAAAATAAAAAGGAAAATGTATTGAAAATTATAAGACTTGAAAATCCTTATTTTATTTTACTTTTTGTCTGTAAATAAACATTATTGTCCTGTTCTCTTTATATATATAATTTCTAGAATTAGTTTTAATGTATTATCTAGCTCTTGAATATAATTAATTACGAATAAAGAACATTTATAAAATTGGTATCAATATACTATTTTGTTAAAATAAATCTGAAATCTAAATGCAAAGTTCTGAGGTAGGAGTGATTTGTGTATCAAGAAATTGATTGCGACAACAATGAATGTAAGCTGAAAAAACAGAAAGAAAGGGTTGAACGCTTAAGCCACCGACACATGTCTGGCGGGGGACAAAATACGGGAAAGCTGGCGAGTTCCAATCAGAGTAAAATGAAAAGTTCTATCTTTCCCCCCCGCAAAAGCAACATTTTTTATATAATTAATCTAATTAAATTTGAGTTATTTGTAACAACAAATGACAAAATAGAAAAGGCAAAGCTGGTCCTCTCTTCAACTCACACTAGTAAACTAAAATTGGACATACCATAACAGGAAAAACACGTTTGATTAGTATGCATAGAGCGACAGAGACACAGAAGCAGAGTGGGAGTGAAGATGAACAAATAATTAATACGAGAGAGTGAAAAGGAAGCAACCTGGTGAAAACCGATTTCCTTAGTGAGAGGAACACCGAGTTCAGCCATACAAGCTTGCATTCGATCATCGGAACCATAGAGACTCGGATACCTCTGAATACAACGATCCTGCATTTTCTGCAAAGCCTTAGCTAAAGGGTAGCTGATGGCGAACCCTCCTCCGCCGTAGGCCATTCCATAGGAGAAGAAAATATTCTGCAAGTGACTCTCCGACAAGCTCCCAATGTAATACATCTGCTTGTGATCGTACTTGTTCAAAATCCTCAGCAGATTGTCCGTCACGAAGATCGTGTCGTCGTCCCCCATCACGAACCACCGCACGTTCTTCATCCCCAAACGCAGCGTTTCAGACACGATGCGGGATATTCTAATGGCGGAGCGGTGACCTATCTTGTTTGTATAAACGAAGTTGGATGTGTCGGTGGAAACCTTCACAGCTGGCAACCCTTCCTTCGAGTTCGTCTTCACGCGATCGTCAAGCCACACCACTCCCCTCATCTCCTTCTTCTTGTACCAAATCTTTATGTAGTTCTTCCTCTGTTCCCACAGCTTCGACGACGCCGCGATTCCGAACACCACGTGACGGAGCTCCGTCTTTTGCTCACGGATTTCCTTCTTCTCCTTTCTGTTGGGGGAGGCGGTGGCAGTGACAGTGACGGTGGCATTGACGGGGAAAGAGGAAGAAGAGAGGTGGACGGAGGAGAATGGACCATGGTTGCAGGTGCTTGACGTGGAGACAAGCTTGAGAGTGTAAACCATGTAGGTGATAGAAACGAAGAGGATGAGCCACACCATAAGCTTCTGTGAGGGCGAGGGTCGTTGCTGTGCTGGAGTTCCAGAACCAGGCCCTCGACCCTGATCCCAAATTAGCTTCTCTGTTTCCTTCATTTTTTCCACTTGCGTTGTGCTTGTAACAGAGAGAGAAACACTCTTTCAATTATTTATTTTTTTTAACAGAGAACCGGATCTCCTAGGATGCTTACGGGACACACAGTACGAGGTATGGGGATGCAAGGAACGAAGTGAAGCGAAGGAAATTCAGTTATGGAATTAATCAATTAATTGAATGAGGTCTGAGACGAGAAAGAGCGGAGTGTGAGAGAGCATGCATAGGTGCCAGGTTGCACACTCTCTCGACTATAGCAATATAATAATATAGAGAGGCATTTGGGTATGACCACTAGGGTGTGTGGTATGTATGCAATTTGATGGATACTCGTTATCGGAGTTAGAGAAACGTATGAATTTCTAATCTAGTGGTCTCACACTTTCGTGGGGTTTCGTTACAGGCTATATATGACAATTAACAATTCTTCCCTTTATTTTTTACTCTTTCTGGGTTCACAACTACTTTCCACATTCACTCTCTGTCATCTATACCTGGCAATAGTAAGTCCCGTTTGGGTTTTTCTTTCGTTTATCTTGTCGATAATGATCCAATGTAATACATAGCAAAATTGTAATACGATTTCTTATTGTTAGCTTTTATTAATATGTACAAGAATATCTTAATATTTTTTCTTATATAGAAATTCACCATTTCATATGATTCTTTATGTCTTTTAGTAATTAAAACGTAACATTCACAATAGTGATCGAGCTTAGCCCTTGTCCCTCTAAAACTTTTATTTCAGACGACACTTCCTTTTTCTTTGGCAATTTTCTTTTTCCTTCTTATCCCACAAAAGAAGTCAATGCCTTTTGAGGAAAAATATAAAACAATCGAGTCAATTTCTGTGACTTGTCGAGCAACTATTAGTGCACATACAAAACGGTCTTGCCAGTGGGAGAGAATTTAAGCTGATTTCGTTCAACACAAGATGCTAACCATGTAGCTATCGCTAAATAATTAACACAATTATTTATTTGGTCAACAGGTGTAGCTGTCAACGGATTTTATTTTTACACAATTTTTTACAATATTTTGTTGTTTACATGAATAACATCGTGCTTATGTTCGAATTTTTATTTTTACTCCTCATGCTGTAAAATTTTCTCTTATATACATGCAACTATGAATTGTTGTTTTCATAATAGAAAATTACTTTTATGCATTATATTTTAGAGAAAAATATATCTTTTTCTTTAATCTTTGTACGACACTATAAAGCAACAATTACTTAAGAACTGAGAGAGTACTAATTCTTTTTGTAATTATTTAAGGAACATGCATGAGAAGGAAGATACAGATGAGTTTAATCCTTAAAAAGTTAAAAGTTAACATTTCGCATTCATTAAATATTAATAAATTAAATTCAAATATTCCATAAACAGCTCTTTGCTGAGGTTGTACCAAAATCACCTGCATTCATTACATATTAATAAATTAAATTCCAACTTTGCGAGGGCTAGTTGTGGGCCGTCGTAGGTTTAGGCACTCTTTATCTTTTGGTCTATAGGTTTAGGCTTTCTTGCTTTCCTCATAAAAGAAACACAGGCCTACATTTTTTTTTTCTAATGTGGGCCTGATTTGAAATCGGAGTAACGAAGCTAAATATGAAAAGCTTTACAATATCATAATTTATAGCATTCGTTTTTCCTGGATGGCCACACCAAAATTTTATAAATTGTTGGAAAATTATCATGATTTTTCTTTCTTATGCATTGATAATCGTAGACAATTACCCTTGATGCAACAACTAATAAAGCATAATTACATGGCATAGGTCGAAATTGACAAAACTTCCTCTTAACACCCTAAGACTAAGTTTACATTCAAAACTGAACATAGCTAATAGCTAACAGATGATGAGGGGAGAAAGCAATTAAAACAGAGAACGATGGCTACGTAAAAGGAAATACAAATTAAAAAAGGAACATGAACAACTAGATGAAGCAGTACAGTATAGAATCCTGCTTCATGCAACTAGTTTTTCCTTGGAGAATTCAAGCCCGATGAAGAGGCTCTGGAAATTACAGAGACAATGGAATGAAAAGCATTGGCAGCTATCTTGGATTTTATCTGCCCTCTTTTTGGAAGCGGCTTTTGGCTTCTAAACCTGTTCCTTTTGGCAAATTCTGCAGCTGAGACATGACCAACTCTGCTGTTCATTCTCTTATATGCCACTTGAAACAAACTGATATGTTTTGAATTGAATGTAGATAATGTATCAAGGTTTTTGGTGAACATGTAGAGTACCTAGGTGTTTATATAGAACCTTGAATAGGGCTATTGGAAACTTATAATATCTTCTTGGTAAGGCTTGTGATTGAAGATTTAATATTGGAAGAGGAGGGTGAAACAGTTGTGTCTCAGTGGTGGGGGTTAGGAAGCATGCCAGCTAATTTGTGTCACTCTATAAGATTCCTTTCTGCTCAGCGCAGGACAAGTCCATCATAGGCGTATATAGCTAGCTTCAGATATAGATTGTTTTCAGCCTCCGCCAGTAATGTGAACACGTGCGGGCGTATATGTATGGTACGGTATCTTGAGGTTGTCTTTAGTCACTTGTTTTATCTTGATCGGATACGTTTGTTAGTATTTGAAATGGGATTGAGGGAGCAAGGAGCATTGTTTAGTGGTTGTCCTCATTTTCAGTGTAAATTAGAAGGGTAGCTAGCTGGCTACGTATATATTACTACTTACTAGAAAGAAAATATTAATAGGCCGATACTCTTGTATTATTTATATACATATGAACGATGCGGCGTCACATGGTCATGACAATTGTTTCGCTGATATTGAACAAGACCACCGTGCACAATCTTCTTAGAAAAGGTTATCTTAATTCGTCCCAGTTTCTGTTTCAGTTTGATATGTGTTGAATTACCCTTTTATGTCGTGGTTGTCTAGGTGGTGTTTGCCTGACCCAATTGTATATTATGTGGAAGATTCAGGACTGCCTTCTGTTGGGCTAGACACAAGGACATGGACAGATGGAACTTGCCTATGTTCTCTGTTTTGTTGTGTGGGAACATATTTCAGAACGTAATTGCCACTATTTACGCAATGAATGAGGTAGATAAATTATTCTATGACTGTGTGCAGGTCGCATCCGAGGAAATATCCAACAACCTGCTTCCATTTATAAATTAAAATTGTGTGTGAGAATAAGAAGCTACAAATTCATAGCTCAATAACTTTCTGTATGTCCCTCCTTTCTCCGCACCAAGAACCACCTCACCCCAATGGGTATATTCTACCACCGTTCTTGCAGTTCTTCATTTAATATCACGATATCTATGGCACAATTAACTGCTACTTGTCTATGCATTGCTGGGTCATTTTTGCCTTTGGTGAACAACTATAATTATTCCTAAAATAGAAGGGGCTAGACTGTACAAATCATCCCGTTAGTGGCAGAAAATTGTTCGCTTCTACGGTCTCTCTTTGGAATATGGGTTTCAAATACTAAAAAAATATTTTGATTAAGCGAAATTGAAAACAAAGATTGTAATTGGCTAAAGAATGAAAAGGTAAACTGTTATAAATAAATATAAAAAATATTATAAATAAATGTAAAAAATTAAAATTGAAAAGGAAATAACTTGTAAATAAAAATAAAAAATAAAAAAGTAAAGATAAAGATAAGTTATAACATATTTTATTGATTGTTTGTTCATAGAGCTCTCCAAAATATGTAGAAATGCATATTATATAATATGTATACAACAATTATTTAGTCTAAGAAGTTGTTACCTACGCTTTTAATCCCCCACCTTACGCACATAGAATGCTAAGTTATTTAGTTAGCACTTTTTAGCACAAGTAACTATTGATAACTTCTTCTAAGAATTATGTTTTTTTAAAAGATGTTTTAGAACTTTTAGTTTATGAATAGTTTGTTTTAATTTATTTGATTTCTCCTTTTACATTATTAGGTTTAAATTCTTGCATGATTATATTTACATTTAACATTGCATTTTAGTTATGTTTTCTTTTGATTTTGTAATTTCTTAGAAGAATTAAAGAAATTGAATATGGACTCCAACACTTAAGTTATGCTACAACGTGGGTACTCAAATCTAATATATGTAGATTGAGTCTCTATACTAATTCTAATAGTCCATAATTGTCACAAACTTAGAAAAACATGTTAACAGCTAGAATAGAGAGGAATACAAAATTTAGAGCAAGAAATAGATAGAAAACTTAGAACTTGAGAGAGACCTCTTTTGGAATTGTTCTTCAACTCTTTGTATATTTTTTTTTATTATGGGTTCGTCTTATTTCAGTTCTGTCCAATGTAAGTTATTTTTTATGGTTTATAACTAATTATTTGTTAAGGATGATTTACGACGACTATGTGTTTGATATTATGTTAATGTGAATGAATTTATATATTGTTCTCATTTAATAGTAAGCATTGTATTTGAACTTATTTTTCTTGAACTGTTTAATCACTAATTTAGGATTATAAGAATTTTTATATATTTGAGAAAAGGAATAATAGTCATGCCTATTGATGAATCTACATTTTACTAAATTTTTATGCATCATTTATTACTTTTTTATAGAAAAGAATAGACTTAAATAGTGTAAATAAGATGAATATTTCAATTAGGCTAAATAATATAGGTTTTTTAGTTTTTGGTTAATTTACATTAATTTAGATAGTTTATTTTACATGTTTTGATCATTTGAATAATGTGGCAGGATTCCCCAAGCTTATTTTGAAAAATTATTGGATTTTGAGGAATTTGAGGTGAAAGTAACTGCTTTCAAGATTGATAGTGACCATTATAGCAAGCTACTTCCAGTAAATGGACCACAGTGTTCACTTTCAAAGCTAAAAGTGACGACTACAGCAGCCTAGAATCCACTAAGCCTACGCGTGGCTACTATGAGCTTGCATAATTGAAGTTGCTGCACGTAACTACTATTAAAGTTCATAGTGACAACTCCAGAGAGCCCAAAATGTACCAGTGCTACGCGTGTCACTATCAAAGTTGACAGTGGACACTATAGAAAGGCAAAAACCAACTGATGCTGCGCGTGTTTACTATGAAAGAATGAAAGTAATCACTTTGGAGGGCGCCAACCTTAATATAAATAGATTTTTGCCAAATTAGGGTAGGAGGCTCTTACACTTTTCGTACCTTTTCTCTTCTTTACTAAATTAGGACATTTTCCAGAGTTTAGGGCAACCTTGGATGACAACCAAGAGTCCAACCTAGGGTTTGGTTT